TTAGTATATATTTTTGCTTTGTAACTTTTAATCCACAGCGAGTTTTTGTTACTTTTGAATGAAAAACTAGTTTTTTTCTTGATTCCAGAAAGCTTTTTCCCGCATTTGACATAGAGATTGCATGCTTTCTTAAGGTTTTATTTTACACCTGTGAAACCTTGATAGAGCAGTTGAAAAAACAATAGTAAATTGAAGCTCTATTCGTCTTTGTTATCATACAATGCCTAATGCCCCAATCGCAAAAATCTAGCTACAGCATTAAAAAACAGAAACCGCCGAACACCTTCCGTAGGTAGAAAGTAGGTTTTTTTCAAAATTCGTAGGGAATTCTGGGTAGAAACTTGAGTTGCTGCGTAGGTTGTGCGTAGGTAGAAATTTTTAAGGTGGTAGGTGGAGATGTTATATTGTGCGTGGCAGCTCTGCAGACAAATGAAGTGACAGTTAGAAGTGGAACGACACAGGCTATTACCTCCAAACCTTGCAGAGAGGCTGAAAACGTTCAAGGAGCAACAATCAACGACCATGGTCTAAACACAAGTGGGATAACTGTGGGCTCTGTTGCCATTCGTCTGCCAAAAATTAGGCTCCCAAGATTAAACTGAGATATGACATGTTTATGTTTTTTGGCAGAGTTTTGAAAATGCAATAGTTGAAATAAAGGCATAACAGCAGTTGATAAACTCAACTACCTGGTGAATGTCTTGGTTGTTCTGGAAATTTTAAAGGCGAGATTTGGCAATAAGCAACAGATAATCTCAACACACATGCAGGCTCTTCCTGGGTTAGAAAACTTCAGAACCCCCCCCCCCCACTACTACAGCCCTGGGTACACCACTGAGGGAGAAAAGAATTTGAAACCTGGAAGCTAAGTGATAACACCCAGCTGTTGAAAAGAAATGCGAGGAAACACTAGGCTATCAACAAAGATCACCACAAGGTACAGCAACAAAAACATTTTTAACGAAGGAAGAAAAAGCACTGTGTTTATTGTGGTCACGGTCATAGTGATCAATCACTCTCAGTCATAGCATGCCAGGTGGTCATACTCACGCATGCCAGGTGGCCAATAAAAAGTAAATGTTTAAAAACTCATGAATGCTTAAAGAATCATGAGAGTGTGACTTTCAATATCCCATAAGAATTAAATGCTGAGTATTTTCATGAAATGAATTTGTCAAGTTTTTGTAATATGAATTTCAGCTTTTCAATTTTCAAATCACCAAAGTATATGAAAATATCTGTATGAAGAAGTTTTTTTATAGATTCTTTTTTGAAATCTTTTTTGAGAAATATTTTTTGAAATCTTTCAGGGACTGTGGCTTATGCAGGGGCGATCCAGGCATTTGCAACATTCGCACAGGCGAATGTCAGATTTCCACATGCCTTTTTGTAATTGTCTGTTAATACATTTTAGCATTGTGAATATTGTACTAGAAATGACCAGATGATAAAAAGATGTCCATGTCATAGTCCATGTCCATGGAATGTAAGCAATAAAAGTTTTGTTTCCTTCCCAAGTTGCTAAGATTTCATTTAGGTTCATTCCCTCATATTCGTGATTTAGAGATAATATATTCTAAAGGAAGCTCCCCCTTCTACGCATCAATTCACAGAGCACCAATAAGGTTTGATGCGAATGTTGAATGGAATTATAATATATTAGGCATGTGTGCGCAGACGAAGTAGTACTGAAAAATGTACGCCCAAAATTTGTGCGAATATCAGTCTAGCTATGTTATTTAGCCATCTGAAAACCAGTAGGAAATGTATATGAGAAAATTATTTGCGAATGTGGCGAGGGTAGATGCGAACTATGTTCGGTAGCCAGTTGAAGGAGAGAACCTTGGAAAGTGAGCAGATTGAAACCTCGCTTCCAGATCAACGACCACGATTATTGTTGGAAAGCTGTTGAGACATTTGCTTGCAGAAGAGCAGCAATTGTAATTCAGAGTGAGTGATAGAAGTCCATTATAAGATGCTTTTTAATTTGAATCAGCGGATTGCTTATGAAGATGTACAAAGTTTGTCGAAGATTTTGATAGATGGATGGAATTTGATAGATGGCAAATATGCTAGGACAGTTCAGTTGGACCTAAAATTGTTGATCCAAAATTTTGCCTATGTTTTCATTTTTATGATGAAGGACGTTATTTAGACAGAATTCAGACTCAAATAATATTTTGAAGAATATGTATAACATTTTTAAAGTAAATAGCCATTTTTATGCAGGCTGTCAATCAGAACTTTTAGGGTTCAAGTCAGGTTACATGGTAGCATTCTGACGAATGATGCTGTTCTAAAGATATCTTGATGAATTTGAATATGCTGATTTTTAGAGTTCTAGATATTTTTGGTATTACCAAATTTTGGTATTATCTGTAGATAGTTTGACTGTGCTGTGGATTTGTTTTTGAATGATATTGCATTTTCTACGACGTATGATTTTGTTAATGTTTTACTGTCAGTTTTGGAAAAATCTAGACTGCCATTTGTAAATAAGAAATTGTAATGGTTTGTTTGTCTGGTCATGCCATAAATATGGTAACCCTTTTCATGAGTTTAACCTTTAAACTAGTAAAATTATTTGTGGTTTCCATACTAAGAGTATACAAATACCCATAAGATTCATTATTTATTGTTTGTGAATTTGCAAGTGACTGACAGTTGTCTTTTCTATGTAATTGTGTGTGTGTAAATAAATGTAAATATGTGTAAATATGTGCAATCAATGATCTTAACAGTGTATTTACATTAGGCGAAATGCTTTGGAGGAAGCGGAATATTTCGCCTAAGAGCATGCGTAGATAGGTTTTGAAGGTGTGTGTTGGCAGAATATTTCCGTGGCTGGAAACTAGAAGCCTTTCCAACTTTTCCGCCGCGGAATTCTGATATTGGCTCTTCATTAACCAACTCAATGAAGGCTTTCCAATATGGCTACACAACCCATATGCCTAGACCGAGAAGCTCTTTCGAATGTAATACTGCTGTCGCTGCTGTCGAGGGAAATGATCAACTATCATCGTTGCTGTCACAACTGAGTTCCGATTTTATAAAACTGGTCGATGAAGAAGGGTCGATGGGAGTTTCTACTGCTACAAGTAACGAAGCATTCAACAACATTGAATCAATCGATTTCGACAAGGAATCATTCCTTGTGAAACTTAGAGAGTACCCGAGTATTTGGGACAAAAAACACCCAGACTACAAGCAGAGAAATGTAAAAACGAATGCTTGGAAACAGTTGGCATTAACTTTTAACAAAGATTGTGAGTATCAACTTAGGCCTTTACACTCTTTTTTAAAAGAACAAGTAAATTTAATTTCCAGGTATCTGTTCTTAATTGTTTCAAAAATATGAGGCTGGGTTGTTCTTAATTTGTTCTTTAATCAATAGGGTAAAAGCAGTACAATTGGCCCTCTCTGTGGGTTTATTTATTTTTGATATTTTTGGGTAGGGGTAGTTTGGATGGAAAACTTGCAGTATATTTATTTTTTACATCTATCCCCTAAGATCCTATGAAAAATCTAAATCCATCCTCTCTTTCATTCTCAATTCGAATTATCCCGTTCTGGATAGAAATCATAGCTAAAACTCGCAGTATATTTATTTTTTACATCTACCCCATAAGATCCTATGAAAAAATTTAAATCCAGCCTCTCTTTCATTCTCAATTCGAATTATCCCGTTCTGGATAGAAATATATCTAAAACTCGCAGTATATGTATTTTTTTACATCTACCCCCTAAGATCCTATGAAAAATCTAAATCTAGCCTCTCTTTCATTCTCAATTCGAATTATTCCTTTCTGAATAGAAATCTTATCTAAAACTCGCAGTTTATGTATTTTTTACATCTACCCCCTAAGTAGCCTGTGCTCCAGACCCTTAACCTGAAGGAAGAGGGTCTGTGAACTGCCTGTAGATATTGCGTCCAGACATTTTCCCTGGTTTTTCGGAAAAGCTTAATTATGCATTGCATATTAATTAATTATTTTGTTTATTCGATTATTGAAACCCTGTCGGAGATGGGCCTAACTACGTGACTTGTCTTCGACATTATCTTCTTGATTGTTCTGGTTGAAGTAGTGATATTAGGAATGAATAACGCGAATGGCCCATTCAGAAAGAAGAGAACTATCGAGCGATAGCAGTGTGGATTGTTTGCCTGCCAGCAGTAGCTCAAGCAGTACTCACCTTACTCCGGCGATCAACCCCGAATGGATCTGCATTCTTTGCTTCAAGGAATTAACTGCCAATGGCGATAGAAACTTAGTTGAGGGTAAGGGTACATTTAGTGCTATTGCAGAAATCAATTTACTGCCTTTTATTGTAAACAGAGTTGTAGCTTCTCGCTATATCTGCAAGAAGTGCCTTGGAAACTTAAAGAAAAGGAATGCTTGCCGTGCAAAACTTGTTGCTCTCGATGAGGAATTAGAGCAGGATTATAGAAAAGTCTGTTTCAAAAACCAAATTCCAGTGAAATCAAAGTCGTCTTCAGTAATCATAAAAAAGACCTATGTCAGCTCTGTTGATGTAAATATTGGAGAAAATGAATTTCAACATCGAAAACGTGGCTGTGTCAGTGTGAGCACGCAAACAACAACTGTCACATCCCATACCAACTCAACAGCTAATGTTAGCGAAACATTTCAGACAAAAGCTTTCATCAAGATAGTATGGGAAAGTGGAACAAGAGAACGAATGCTACCTGAAATGTTTGTTACTTTGGGTAAAATGCTTCTTCGTGGAACCTTGAAACAGATAGCTGTTGCTGCATGGAAATGTAGCAAGCTGAGACCTTTTTTAATCAAAGAAATGTACAAAGCTATATATAATGAATGTTCCACACTCTGTGCCAAAAAAGATTTATCAATCTTGGCAAAAGTAAAAAAAGAAGATTTTTTGAATTTTAGTTTCCAGAACCTCAACAGTGAACTGGAATTAAAGTCACCACTTTTGCATGGAGTTTTGAAAACTGCCTGTATCAGCAGAAGGTCAACAAAAAAAATGATTTATGGGTGCCTTCATTGTGCATGGCTACTGCTGTATGCATGAAAAACCGTTCAAGTCATGCAACTGCATTACAGTTGCTGATATCAATCATATTCCAACATTGCAGCTTAACAGTAAGCATAACTTGTATAATTATTTTAATCTAAATTCATGATTAAATCTGTTTTAGCAGTTGCCAATTTTTTATTATAAAAATAAACCTTCAAAAAAAATCGATAATGATGTCATAAATTTTGTTGATCTTTGTTTCAATTTTTTTTAGATTACTTTTATCAAAAATTGATGGTTATTGAACATCCAGTTCAGTCAAAATTTCATAAAATTACCTCTCTAAGGAATACAAAAGATTCTAATATATGAAATTTCTAAGAGCTATATGTTATTTTGTGATTGATAACAACCATCTCCCCCTTCCAACTTAAGGATTATATAAAAAAGAGTTGATTGCCATGAATACGACAGAAAGTCGAAACTAGTCGGCAAAATTTGCATTTTTACTAGTGTACACGTCTTTTCAACTGTACAATATATATATATATATATATATATGTATTCAAAAGCTCATAATGTAAAATGTTTAGATGATAGTTATTACTGATGAAGCGAAAGCGAAACGTCTTACAAAAGTGTTTTCTTTGATTCTATATATATATATATATGTAGCATTAATTTGGCAATCAGCAAGCATTCCTTTTTCTAAGTTTTTAATTCGCAAAATAAAGTTTATCATTTTTCAAATATTTTCAGGCTGCTATGGCAAGATTGAGGGTTGTGAGACTGACAGTTTCTCATACATAAATTTATAAGAGACTGGATGAATTTGGTAAAGAGCTGGATGAGGATTTTCTGACCTCTGCTTCAGCTAAGGGGCAGCAAATACAATGCAAGCCTGTATTTGTTTCATCTCCTAAAAAGAAAGCTTCTATGTCTAGCCTGGCAAAGAGTAGTAGTCTAAATGGAAAGAAAATCATTTTTGATAATGTTGATTATGCACGAAAGGTTCATCAGATGAGTGAAACACACCAGAATATGCTTCATCATTGGGTAACCTACATGTCTACAGAAAATAGATTGCCTGGGCACCATTTACCTGCTGGAAAACCTATTGGAAGCATCGATAAAGTTGAAAATGCAATTTATCTTCCTAGCAAGAAAGATCACATAAAGCAACGTTTGGATTATGTGTATTTAGTTGCAAGGCTGATAACACGTCATATTCCTTGTCTACAATTTCTCAGAACTGTTGTGAAAGAACACATGCCACATAAGTTTTCTCATTCTACTGGCTTAGCAACCAAAACTGTAAGTTGCAATTTATCCCATAACCTCTAAAATAGTGTCTTCTTAGGAGTGTGCTTGTTCAGCTAGTGGGCTATGCTGTTAACATAATAGAATGACTTTACACATATTGAGCAAATGTATCTTATAAATGTATGCTTCTACTGCCTTCCATGGTCAAGGTCTACATCTTGCTCTCGGACTGAATATGAAAAGTATAATCAAATTCCTTGGATTTGTTTTCTGATAAATAAAAATAAATATAAATCATGTCTCTCATGACTTTAAAATTGTTACTTCAGGTATTTCATGGCTGCATCTACGAAAATGAGAATGACTCTGATGGTATCCAGAAAGTTTTGAAAAAACTACACACACTGGTTCCTGTTTATGAAGAAGACGGTGAAAAGAAATTTGGAGAGCAAGGTATTGTGGGTGACCAACTTTCTGTGGAGAGAGGCGTTAACTGCTTGCTACAAGTATCAAACGGATTTAGCAGTGAAGACCGCTTTGATGGCATTCATTTTGAAATTGGAGACTTCCATGCTGCTATGAAATTTTTGCAGGTAGCTTCAGAATTGAAAGTACTATAAATCAAATGTATGCTCATATTTATTATAAAACGCATGGCAATAATTCCAACTAACAACCAGATTGAAAATTTTAATGTTTCTTATTGAATTTGTATTGAAAATTTCTAACAAAGAAAACTTATTTTATATTTTAGAGAATACCTTACCTTTTCAATTTAAAAATGTTTCCAAAATTCCTCACCTTTTAACACCAAAAAATAAAATTGCTTATAGTTCTGGTGCTTGTGATTTTAGGAGGAATTCTCAAATTTTAAAACAATTTGAATAGAAATATTGCAGTCGACAAACTTTTTCTCTCATTTTTATCCACAGTCAACTTTCTTTTTATCATTTCAAACTTTTCCCTGCATATAGTAAACAATTTTAACACGAGCAGGTATTTGGACTAAAATTGGGAGGGGGGGGGGGTAGCAAGCCTGAATATTCAATCAAAGAATTGTTGCAAATCTTCAGAAACTATGCTGTTAATTTGGTGTATATATATTACCAAAAATGATGCTTTTTCCTTAGATTGGCTTTGACAGATTTTACACAGGTGCATCTGCAGCAGATCACTGTACATTGTTTGCTGATAGCGTTCTTATTAACAGGCGCAACGTTGGTTCAGATGTTCGATCACGGTATAACCCATGCAAACAGTTCTTTTTGATGGAAGTAGAGGCCAGATTGATTGCTGCAGTAATGGAATTGCTAAAGATGACATCCATAGAGGACATTCCAGACAAAAACATTCTCCAAGAGAAATTGAAAACAGAAACTCTCGCAAAAAAGAGAGAATTTCTTGAAAACTTAGCAGCAACAGTTGTTGATTCACACATAATGCAAATTGATAAAGTTGCAAATTACCTGGCAAGTGTCAATCTTCCAACAAAGATAGAGGTTCAACAGTACAAAGGATCTGATGATGATATATATAACTATCAAATTGCATTACTTGAATTTGGAATGATTGTTAAAAATTTTTTTGATGCAATTTCTGAAGGAGATGGTGATCGGTTGTTGAGGAACTGGAAGTTCATGTTGCTATACTTGAAAGAGGATGGAAGAGGAAGTACAAAATATGCATTGGAAGCATTTTATTTAATAAGCCAGGCAAACTGCTTGCTGTCAGAACGTGCGGCATTTAGGATGGTGTGGAATCGTTTCTCAAAAACCAAGCATGGCTGGGGAGGAAATATTCCACTAGATCTTGCATTGGAACATCTTAACAGGCTGCTTAAGAATGTTTTACGCATGCTAGGCCCCAATGCCACCAATCAAAAGGCTGTAGACAGATACTGTAAAGCTCTGATGACAAGAAAATCATTGATAGATCTTTGGGATAAAAGCTCAAGTTTCATTAAGCAATCTGGTAAGCATACAATGTCTTGTGCAGATGGAGACTTGAGAAAAATTGTCAAAGAACTAATTGAGTGCCATGCTTTGAGGAAAATTCCAAAACGAAGGTATCAGTATTTCAAGAGGGTAAAAAGTAGCCTAATTGCAAATTTGGACATGACATCACTCTTTGCATGGATTGAGAAACACAAGAAGTTTATCAAAGAACGTAAAGCAGCTCGCTAAAATCTGAACTGTATCTTACAGTTTGATGCACTAAATGCAATTTGCTATCTGGTTGCTACGGCCTGAAAAACCTGTATATACAAAGAACAATGTTGACTTATTGTTGTCTTTTTCATTTAAAAATATTTGCTGTTATATTCTAATAATTACTATCAAAAGTGTCCATACTGACTTGGTACTTCAGGCTTGCATGAACTGCTGCTTCTTCAACAAAATCACTAATGTTCATATTATGCTCATTTTCTGATGCAGTGGAAGTTGTCTCATCCATATTTTCCAGAATATCACTTTCATGTAAAGAGGCACTTCCTTCTGCCGAAAATCCACTGAGCTCATTAGCAGAGAAACAGCTAGGTGTGTCAAGCTCACTTTCCCAATCAACAAGTTCCAGGGCATTGCAGTCTAATTCAAAATCTTTGAATGTGTCATGAACAGCAATTAAAATGTTATTGGCATGCACATTACGCCATATGTCAACATATGCACGAACATCTTTTAACGAAAATATTTTATCACAATTGTGTAATGTTTGTTGAATGTGACCTTTCGTAAACTCCAACAGAGTAGTAGGGTATGTTACTGACTTCACAAATTCATCTTGACAAGAGAGCAAAGACTTTTAATATCTTTCTAGAGCACTTTGAAGTTGTGAGATTAAATTTCTGTTTGTGATTCGAACTTTATTTTGTGGATTTGTATCTTTACTTTTTATAAAAAGTAAATAGTTTTTACTGCAATTTTCTTGTTGGCAATCACACTCTTGTGCACATATATCACAGCAAATGCATCCAGTGTTTTCAGTAATGGAAGGGCTATCCCTGTCAAAATTGCAACTTAATGTTTTTCTTCTGCATTCATTTGACATGGTATAATTTTTCAATTCTTGGTCACTGTGCTTCAACAAACAACCATTGAAGAGTAGTATTGCAAGGCTGGGCTCCCCTCTTCTACCTGCACGACCACATTCTTGTATATAAGTTTCGCAACTATTTGACCCTCCATAATGTACTATTTTGGTAATGTACTGGCAATCAACTCCCATACCAAATGCAATTGTACATATTAAAACTCTAATATGACCATTGGTATTAGTGAGCTGTTCTAAAATGTGGTGTTTTACATTTTCTGGAGTTCCAGCATGGAACATCTCTACCAGGCGCATCCTTGGTGATATTTCTCCATTTTTGTAGATGTTGTTCCCAAGGACATTACCAAAAACTTGATAGATCATGCTGCATTGCTTGCGAGTTCTGCAAAATACTAGTGTTCCCTCTGAAGTTTGAGCATAAACTTTTACATCATTTATTATTTTTGAAAAAATGACATCCAAGGGCGTATCATTATCAATATATTTGACAAAAAACCGAATATTGTTTTTAATAGGATCTTTTTCAATTATGTTTGTTTTTAAGATGTTCATTTGGAGCAACTCAAAAATTTTCATTTTTGTTGCCTTTGAAGCTGTGGCTGTAAATACTGCACATCTTGGATTTAGCAAAAGTGACCTAAATTCTGCCAACTTTCTTCCTAAATTCTGCCAAATTCTCCAGTGATCAGATTCCAGAAATATCTCAGGTGAAGCATAAACAAGTGAAAATTCGCCGTTTTCTATCTCTTGCAGAATTTCTTTTGTCTGTCCATCGAATATAGCAGCTGCTGTTACTGCTGTATTCTTCATCTTTGCAACTTGATCAAGCATTAGTTCATTTTTTATTGGCGTTACAACCAAAACAGTACTGGTTCCTAAAGCTTGACCTTTGAACATATCAATTAGTGGCGCAATACTTTGAAAAATCAAAGATTTTCCTGATCCTGTGGGTAAACTGTAGTAAAGATCTTTGCCACTGAAAAAACTCTTGAGTGCCGCTTTTTGTTCGTGAAACAAATCTTCTACGCCTAAGAGCGCTGCGGTTACATGAACGTATTTATCGAAATGTTCCAATTTCTTCTCGAAAGAAAGCTTTGTCGATAACAAGGGGGGAATTTCACACTTGATGAATTTCTTTGCTTCAAATGACCTTTGACCATTGCAGTAAAATTTTATTTCACTTGAAGAGAAATAAATCACTGTTAATAAGTTGAAAATATTTTATTCAAAATAAAATTGATACTGACCTGTATATCAATATTATAAATTTTACATTATCAACAATTCTCTTTCACCTTGCAACTTCATAAAGTGTAGGAGTTTCAATTTATTCTTCCCATGAGCTGCATGATTGAAATCAAATCTGCTTTTTATCAACTTAACAGGGAATCTCTTTCAAATGTAGAGAAATCCAACTTCTTTTGCAAGCCTTTTAACCCTCTATGATGTCTGAGTCACGACATTCAAACAGTTTGATTGACACTTGTATATCTTGTGTTTAGATTATGTTAATAGTTCTATAGCCAAATCATAGTTAAGGGAATAATATCACAAGTCAATAGAAAGCAATTATATATGTTTCTTACACAGGTCTCAAGGCCCTGAATCAAAACATTTTAACCACTAAAGTTCATTAGGGATGGCTCAGTTGTAACAAGCTTGACTACAAATCTAAAAGGACCAGCACAATGCTTCTATAAGCTTCACTTGGTATTATATTAGAAGTACGCTTCTACAAGCTTAGCTAGATACAAATATAGAAGAAAAGTCAAAGACAACTTGTTATTTTCATCCCCTAGGTATCATTTTGATCGTCTCTTTAATCCTTAATTAGTTTGATCAATTTTTGAAAACCTACTTTTTTCCGGTTTCTGTGTTGAGCTGCTCACTAGGAAATGTGAGGTCGATTGGAAATGACTCTCCTTGCATTTTTCGTCCACAGCGTGACAAGGAACCGTTCAAAAGCCATTCATTGACAAAAGATGTAACATCATCTGCTAAATACTGCGTTGATCCAGGCAAACGAGGGAAAAGCTTGAATGTTTTATTCAATACACCTTGGGGGCATGCTGGACTAGAGCAAGTGGATCTAATCGAATGCTCAAAGGCGAATGAGAGATAACGAATAAACAACTCCTGTTCATTACCATACATGTTTATTGTGTTGTTGACTGGTTCTAATCCATTCATTTTGGCAATGTGCAACTTAGCTTCAAGATACTGGCACAGCGGCACGAATCTAAAGACTTTAGCTATTTCATCATTGTATGCCATGCTCCAAGCTGCACGATATGCGTTTGAATGTGCGAGATTTGCGACTGCTAGTAGCATAAGCCAATTATCAACTGGGCAAGTATTGGAGAGCTTGACAACTCTGTTCCCTGTTGCAATAGATCCTCCCCATAATGGTATCGCTGACCGGTCTGCACTGCAGGTAGGCTTTGCAACATTTTGTCCAGGACGGCTTGCAGGCGCACTTTCATAAAATTCTTCGGGTACTGGCGTTGAATTTGCTACATTTTCTGACTTGACCAGATCTCCCGTCACGATGCTTACTTCGACTTCTTTTTCTTTATCTTCACTGGACAGCTTGAACTTTTTTGACTCGCGAAATGCACTAGCTGCTTGACCACAGCGACCTCGAGACCTCCAGTGTTCTTGTTTGCGCTTGCGAGAGTTGTTTCTTTTTAATGGTAGAATTTTGTCCTTTGTTCCTGTCCTGTTTTGGATAAGGGCCTGCGACTTGCATGAGGTCAATGGGATACTTTGACTCGGATCTTTAAGAAGAGTTTTATTGACTCTTTTCACCATATCATTTAATGTATCTAACGTTTCTTTCAGCGTAACTCTTTCATGACACTCGAAGATCTTGTTCTTTAATGTTTCTAAAGAAGAAATACATTTACGACGAAGGATTTTTGCCGATTGCGATTTCAAAATTTGAAATGATTCATAATTTTCAAATTCATCCAGGGAGTCTCTCTCTTTGTATTTATTTACATTGTCTACATTGTGCCCGATATTTACTTCGACCCCGGTATCGTTCTCTACAGAGTTTTTTTTCCTTATTTTAGTTTCTAATGTCGCATCCTCCAGACAAGCAGAATCTGCCAATGCACGATGTAGAAGCCGATCATCAACTTTCAGAAAGTCTTGTTGTAAGTACGCAGCTGGCAAAGTATCCTAATCAATAACTGGAACGTATTTGAAGACGTAAAACATGTGCTTACATGGTAACTTATTCCGGCGCCAATCCATACAGTCGCATCGAGGGAGTTTCAAGTCGCAGGAGTAAACCTTCTGATCATTTGAAGATTTGACTTCGAACAATTTATTTCCGATATCTGTTCGCAGCAAGTTCTTATTACCGTTAAAGTCAGTTTCAGCATTTTTTATTCGAGGTAAACAATGCTCAATAAATTTTCGTGGTCGCCCTTTAAGAAATGGGGGGACAAATGAGCCGTAAGACCGTATTCCATTTGTCTCTCTTGATTTTACATTTGCTGTCAGGAACTCTCTGTATAAGTGTGGTAGAAATTTGTCGATTACAAGTGATATTATAGCACATAGGGATTTTTCTGCAGATTTTTTGAGAAATTTGTATTTTAAAAGCTTGTTTAGAGACTCAGCTCCATTGTTTGTGTTAACATTTCTGTCTAGATCGCTCTCTCTGAATGCGCGTGCCCAGCGTTCTGGGCAAGACAACCACCACTGGTTGATGTACTCTCGAACGTTAGGTTTCGAATTCCAAACATGGGTAGATTTAAGGTTATCAACAGAAAGTTGAAAAGGATTAGTGTTCTCTTCATCATTTGCTGGGGCGTCGGCTACTGTACGTAAGTATCGCAGTAACTTTTTCCTTTCTTCATGACTTAGTGTTGACTCCTTTCGTTTGGTCCAACGTTCCCAGGCTTGCTCTCTGTGAAAAGCACATATCAGTACTTTTGTTCCGCATTCTGAGAATACTGTAAATGTAAAAAATAGTATCAATGCTACTTATATCTTTTATACTTATACTGATAATGGTGTCACTGTTTTGTGTTCTATATTTTTACTATAAAACCTTTACAATTGAAGATGAAGTTGAGATACTTCCGGTGCTTAAAGGTATCGGGACAAAAAAATGAGAATACCTCTCATTGCCTTGGCCCGCGAGGAAGGCCATTGAAATCATCGAAGAAATCTACGTACCCGACTCAATAGCGTTTATTTCAATTTGGGAATAATCACACATGAAGAATTGTGGTTTCCAGCTTGGATTCCAATTCTTCAAAACAAGCAATGCCTCTTCAACCGACTCTGTATTTTCTTCTTGAGTGATAAATTCCGCTGAAACAAAATTTTGATATCTAAATTATTATAAAGAATCAGAAATATGAAAATTATTTTTTTCAAAAAAGGGTTTTTGAAATAGATTTTTCTAACATAATTTTCTTATATAGAGGTACCTTTTAGCAAAACACAAGGTCTCTAAGAAATGCGTTTCTATTTTTCGGGTTTTTACTGTATCATAATAACAAAAAGGGAGCACAAACTTAAGTACTCGATACCCACTATGCGACGAGCATGTTTTTGGAATGGCATCAAATGGCATCATGGCATCAAAATCCCGGTCGTTGGGAAAAAGATCATAATTATAACTGCGTGTTGCGGAGCTGGGAATCAAGCCTATATTTAGTTAATTTGAATTTGAATTTACCTGCAACTTTGTACCCAGCATTTGTATTTACGATGACAAAGAACAAAGGTAACGCGTATTTTGTTGTTTTGTATGTTGCATCCATCAAGCATATGTTATTACCGTAGTTTTTCAACAGGTCTTGCTGCCATGGTTCTTGGTGGACGTAGAGTAGCT